TATTTATTTTTTATTTTTTGTATTATTTTCTACCACAGACGTGGCCACACATTTACAATGCTAATCAGCATATATACATTTTCTTCTGTCCTCCATGGACAGGGTTAGAGAAGTGTTAAACATATAGTTCAAGGGTTTATTGAACACTCAACCACAGAAGGTGATTCGGTGCTTTTAAAATGCTAAGCTAACCTACATACGTAAATACATAGATACACAGATTTACGTATGCCCTACATAAAGTGTTTGATGTGTCTTTTACATAGTGTCATTAATGTACATTCACAAAGGTGAAATGTAATTCTGATCAGCTTCCATATATCCTTTATACCCATACATATACATACACACACACATATACATACATATATACACACACACATGCATTCTCACCCAGAAGAGTGTGGGAAGTGGGCAAAGTGTTATCTTTTTCTTCTTGTTGATAGTAGGTGCAGTTTGCATGAAGGGTTTGTCCTCCCGATGACTGCACCAGTACACATGTTGGTGGACGCGTTTATGTTGAAGATGATCGGAGCTACCAAGGTGCTTGTTGCGTTGTGCTGTAGATAGAGGAACGGTGATTAAAACAGAGGTGTATGTTGTAGGGAGACTTGTTGCACCGTAGGGCGGTGTGTTGTGTTTATGGCGTCAGCTGATCCATGGGGCTGCGACGAGGCAGTTGTTTTCTGTGTTTAGCTGTTGGTGGCGCCAGGTATAAATGTGGCGCGGGTCAGATGTGGCCCAATTTGTTGGTCGACTGTAGATATTGTGGGAACCGACCTGTGAGATTTATATTTATTTAATTTATATGAATTTATATTTACGTTAATTTATATACTTCGATAGCAATTTGTATAATGATAAGTGGACTGTATTTCTGCAATAATCTCATAATCTCACAAATCGATCCTCTACACATTAGGGGGGTTTATATTTATATATATGCAGCCAATCAAACTACAGAATTAACTACATACATTGAAGAGGTTCCTTATCTTATAGTACAGCAGGTTAGTCCACCAGGTATAACTAGGGTGTAGACACCAAATTATCTTCTTTGAGGTAGCTTCCATCACCCAGTAACTGGTGCACAAATCTTGCTTCCTCGTCTTGACCTTTAGTATGAGGCGATTTCGCGTTCTAACCGGCAAACCCTACCCAATGACATTAATGGCCACCAATGATAGATAATGGGTTTCGGAAAGAACACTTAACTTGAATTTGTAGACAGCGTGTTGATAATGGAACACCTTTAGTTTCCATAACACTACGTCCAAGTAAATTTAACAGGAGCCGAATTTGCTCCCGTGTGAGCCTCTGGTCTCGTACAAAACAACAATGGCTGCCCTCTTTCCTCCCTGACGCCTGGCTTACATTGTCCACATGTCAGAAAGTGATAGAAGGGTCACATTTACTCTACTTTAATATTGATAATTAAGTTAATTTATATAAGATGTTTTTATGATGGTAAAGTCCAAAGACTAATGTATTTAAGAATAATTCCCACCATAATAGGTGGTGGTTTATAATAGTATGTGGTGATGATATCCCGTTTTCTTTAGACGGTAATTCCACTACAAGTTACGTTTTCTATGGGTAACTTGTTTATACAATACAGCTATTATCTGTATGATTATTAAATGGTGTCGGATTTTCCGACAGATATTTAGTCAGTGCTTTGACTATTTGGTGTTTTTCTTGTAACGAGTGGTCGCCACCTCCTAATATATGCTCGATGGTGAAGGGTATTTTAAGTGTGATAAAGACTTGTTTGAAATTTACTCTGGCACTATGATGTCGGAAGCAGTGAAGGAGATAGTGTTCGACTGTTTCAGGCACCTGACAGTGAGTACAGAGTTCAATGATGTCTGTTCTGTACTTAGAGCTGTGTGCTGCTAGTTTGGTGTGTCCCAGCCTTAATCTGGTCATCGTTACATCAATTTCTCTGCTTTTATATCCGACATGTTTCCAAGTTTCCCATTTCTTTTTAATGAACCCATAGTGCAAAGGTGAGCATAACGTTTTCCAGTTTGTTGCAAAATTCTGGGAGTCAAAGGAATACGACTCACTCTTAAAGACAATAACTATGAAAGTGTTAAACCTCTCCCTGCAAGATGACCAGTGGGACCAAGCAACGCTCCCAGTTAGACTCGGGGGTATAGGTATTCGCAAGGCGACACAGCATTGCCGGCATTCTTATCCTCGACCAGTGCTACAAGTGAATTGGTAAATGAAATACTACCAGAATACCTAAGGAACTTCACTGGGATTCGTGATCCCAAATTTGTGGAAGGAGCTGGTCAGTGGGACACTCTTGCCAATTCACACACCCGACCAACTTTTCCAAACGACGGTAAACAGGCCAAATGGGATAGCCTCATAGTGGAGAACATCGCCAAAGCATTGCTGGACGCATCTTCTCAGAAGGACAGAGAGCGTCTCCTAGCTGTGCAAGCCCCCCATGCTGGGGACTTCCTGTTGGCAGTCCCTAATTCCGCCTTAGGCACCCGCCTGGACCATCGGGCCCTAAGTATTGGTGTTGCTCTGCGCCTTGCCGCCCCTATCTCCACCAAACACCGGTGTATTTACGGCCATGCACGGGCAGACCAATACGGCAGCCATGGTCTCATCTGTCGTAAGACACAGGGAAAGATTGCCAGACACGAAGCAGTCAATGACATCATCAAGAGAAGTTTGGATACAGCTGGGTGTCCAGCACAAAGGGAACCCCAGTTGTGCAGACCTGACAACAGCCAAAAACGCCCAGATGGAGTCACCCTGCAGCCATGGAGGGAAGGTAAACAGGTCGTATGGGATTACACCTGTGCATCTTCATTGGCTGATATCTATTTACGTTACAGCTCAGCGGAGGGAGGTGGAGCAGCCACCTTCAGGGAGACCCAGAAAATCCACAAGTACAGGGACCTAGAACGTTGTTACAGGTTCGTGAAGATAGGCTCTGAGACTCTGGGCGCCTGGGGTAAATGTGCACTCAAGTTTTTAAAGGAGGTTGGTGAGGAACTCATTGGGAAAACTAGAGACCCACGAGCAGCCAGTTTCCTGTTCCAGCGCCTCAGCGTCGCAGTTCAGAGGGGAAATGCGTGCTGTATCCTGGGTACGCACCCAACCTCCGAGGAGCTGGACGAGGTCTTCGAACGCTGATTGTTTAATTGTTATATAATTGTGTGTGTGTGTGTGTTCTCTGTAAACTGTAGCATTGCAATAAAATAAAACAAAACATACAACAAAATAATGGGGGTGGTAGGAGAGGAAAAGAATAAAGTATTCAGTGAGAATCCACAAGATCTTCTCTGAATGCTCTTTGTTTTCTTCTTCGAGGATGTGGGTCCCTGCAATTGCACCAGAGGTGGTACCCCTAATATATAATATGTTGTACCTAGTAGCCAGAACGTCGTACTCGGCCTACTATGCAAGGGCTGATTTGTCTAATAAGCAAAGTTGTCTTGAATTTATATCTTTCTAATTTTTATCTTATGAAATGATAAATCTGCCCATTTCATTATGTATAAGTAATTTGTTTAAATTTGAGTTAAAACTTACGTGGATATATGACTGAACCTAACCAACCCTCCCAAACCTAACCTATCTTAACCTAAATTTAAAAAAAAAACTCTTCAAAGTTCATTTTCACATTTTTTTATTTTGGTCTGACGCGTAAGGATGCGTTTTGCATGGTCACTCATTACATTCTCAATGACAAATATACCATGCTGTTGTTGTTTTTATAGATTCAGCTACTTGGAACAAGTTCCAAGTTGCACGGGCTATGCTGAGCCCGGAACTTACCTGGCACAGGAGCGGGGCAAATAGCACGAGGTATGGTGAGCCCGTAATGGACTTACCTGGCACAGGAGCTGTGCTATATATCGTACTTTTGCAAAGACATTCTCTTTGGGTGAGGTGATACAGAACAAGTAGATTAAACAAAGTTAATGAATGGCATAACATAAGGTATATTAATATTGTAATATATGCTTTAACATAAGCAGCTTATGTTCTTGGGGATCTTGTCTCTGTGTTGGCTCGTGATCTTTAAGTGGGTAGAATGTAATTATGTGTTAACTGGTTGTTAATTACTGGTCTTGATTTTTTTATGTGTAGGGCCTCGTTGATATCCAGTTTTCTGATGTCGTTATACCTGTCGACTATTGCAGTGCTGCTTGTTAAGATGTGTCTGGTGATGGCCTGGTTGTGCATAACGACAACAGAAGACTGGACATTAGCGAGGCGCTACACATCAAAAACTATTGACGACCGTCACAATAGGTACTGTCCAAACAGGAGGATGGTTGCTTATACAGTCAATAACACAAAACTGCTGAGCAATCACATGACAGTCAAACTCTCTACATTTAAGAAAATATAACCGAGCAAAAATCATGGAAATAAACATCAAGAAATCATAGTGATGTGATATGTCAATGATCACATCACTGACATATCACATATCATTCCAACATTGTTCCAATCATCTGGAACATTGCTGGAATTTGAACGAGCGTTCTTGGGCTCCCAGACACGCACGCCTTGACCTCCACTTGGGTTAAAGGCGTGTGTCTGAGAGCCACGAGAACGCAGGTTCAAGTATGATATAGTAATTATCAGGGGAAAGATAACTCGGGCCTGACTAGAACTCAAGTAGATTACTTATTGAGTTCAAGTAGTCTTCTCGTGAACGTAAATGATTTAAACTGTGTACATAGTTATAAACTTGCTCCTCACTTAATGCTCTTGGGTTAGGAAGCTATGGAGAGCGGGGTCTGAATTGACGCAGTTTAGTCAATACGAGTATGTAGCATTTGGAAGGGATATGAGAACGAGGATCAGGGATAGGATGGAGGCAAGGAATGTTGCCGAACCGCTCTGACGGTTGGGAATCGAACGCCGTCCAGCAAAATGCAAGGCTATACCGACCATATCCCTTCCAAATGGGTTGGGCACTTATGCTTGTACATATTAATTACAAACTCTAGGAAGTTTTAATTTTGTGGAGGTAAGGGCATTGCTTGGACTTTCATCATGATCGGGTCGTCTCCCTTCACAAAAAAATAATCGAAGCCCTTTTTGTCAATCAGGACGAATCCTCTGTTCTTCATGTCGTCGACAAACTGGTGGTTGAAATCCTTGAAGTGGACTTCCTCGACCACCATGGCGCGGATGGTGATTCTGTCCCAGGGAAAATTCTTGAGGACACTTTTCTCCGCCCCTTCGATGTCCAGGGAGAGGAAGTCCACTGTGGACACCTTGAGGGCCAACAGGTAGGACGCCAGAGGGAAGCACTGCACCACAGAATAAGACTTGTCTGACGTGTCAATAAAACTATCGTAAACGGTGGTGTTGCGTTTGACGCCGAGGAGATGGGAGGCACTACGACGGTTAGCGAGCATCCTTTCCTGCATTGACATCCTGTTTATTTTTTTGACGAGGGAGACCAACACCTGCTCCTTCGGGTGGTTCTCCGTCGACAAGCAGGTGTTGGAGGTCCACGCCTTGCGATGCTTCGTCGTCAGCTTTTTGTAGCTCTCATGGTTGGGCTCGATCAGCAGACCTGTCCAACCCAACTCCTTTTCAAGGCGGAGAGTGTTTGATACCTGTTCTCCATCGAAGGCTCCGGCTTCCACAAAGAATCCACCATGATGGTCGCCAAATAACTTTTCTATATTGCTTGTAAAGAACGTGTGGTCTTCGAAATATATGAGGAACTTGAAGAGGGGTTCGGGGGACAGGTTGTAGGGCCTGGTAGATGGCGGAGTCAGGTAATGGCGACCTAATATGTCCAGGACTCGAGGGTCGTCAGCGACCAGCGGGCCACGAAGCCTGGCCAGAACTTCGTCTTGGTCCCCAGGCGACCGGAGGTCCATGTTGACACTCTGTTGACGAAAAAGTGTTAATGGCGTTGATAATAGTAATGATGTTGATGATAGTGATGATGTTGATGATAACTGTGTTAATGGCGTTGATGATAGTGATGATGTTGATGATAACTGTGTTAATGGTGTTGATGATAACTGTGTTAATGGTGTTGATGATAACTGTGTTAATGGTGTTGATGATAACTGTGTTAATGGTATTCTTGGGTGTACTTATTTTTCTCTCTTAATCAAGGGTGTCGGTGATAAGTATTTATTTATTTATTTATATATATAAGAAGTTACATTGGGCTTATGAGAGAACATAGCATAATGTGTTTACATTCTTGTAAAGCCACTAGTACGCACAGCGTTTCGAGCAGGTCCTTACTCTAACAGATAATATTAAGTAGATAATTTCTAGCAAAATTTATGGAATGTTAACAGGTATATTGTATGAAAATTTGACAAAGACACACTAATTTGACACACTAAAGCACATTGATGGCACATATAAGAAGACAGCAATGATCACAATGGTAAAGTTGTAGGGCTTAGCTACATATATATACGGACGTAGGTTCGAATCCTCGTCACGGCCCTTGTGGATTCGTTCATTGATGCATCACGCTATTATGATTTCTGTATATATATATATATATATATATATATATATATATATATATATATATATATATATATATATATATATATATATATATTATATATATATATATAAATATATATATATATATATATATATATATATATATAATTATACCGATATATATTATATATATAACACGATATATATCTTTCGTATATATATAATATTTCGGTCATATTATTAAATATGACCGAAAAAGTAAGATTAATAATTCTAACACGAATTTTCTCAATCTTTCGTACATTTCTTTTCACTGTTGGAGGTAATTCAAAAATCAATTCTCCAAAATTCATTTTTATTTCTAGTCTGACGCGACACGAGCGCGTTTCGTAAAACTTATTACATTTTCAAAGACTTTAGTTAACAAATACACAACTGAATAGAACTTACACATCTCCGATTTTGTTTATATCTACATTTGGGTGAGGTGGATGGGGTGAGGTGGCATTAATAGGGTATTAATTTCATCAACACAAGACAGAACAGGAGGTGGCATTAATAGGGTATTAATTTCATCAACACAAGACAGAACACGAAACAATAGGTATTGAAATGGAAGTGATTGTAGAAAGCCTATTGGTCCATATTTCTTGATGCTTCTATATTGGAGCGGAGTCTTGAGGTGGGTAGAATTCTACCCACCCTAGCTCAACCCCCGCAAGCACAACTAGGTCACTCACCACATGGTAACAGGTGAAAGTGATCAGGACCAACGTCAAGAACCAACACATTTTCACCACAGGAGTTGAGCTCATCTTCCCAGGAATATATACTTTTATCTTCCCTTTATTTTTACAATGTAAGTTTTCCACGTGAACTAAACAATACTTAACGATATTCCTTTAAATTATGACGCGTTTCCACTTAAAAAATTTTTAAGCTATTGTCAATTATTCACATTTTGAGTGGCCAAACTTCTGTACTAATAATATCCCTCATTGCCACGTTTGAGTCTATAATTAAACTTTAGACAGGATAATGGAGTGGTGACTCCTGGAGGCAGTGTTTGGGAGGACAAGTGCTCACCTCCGCTGCCAGACAGAGACTGCTGACACAGCACCTGCTGGGAGGGAGGAAGGTTCATGTAATATTTTCTCGTTTTTCCTTCTCTCGCAATGTTGTTGTTGTTTCAGATTTAGCTACTCAGAACGAAGTGTCCATGTAGCACGGGCTATGGTGAGCCCGTAATTGAGTTTGGTTATACGTGATAACCTTGTTTCTGTGATATTTGGGTCCAAGTTTAATATGGAGGAGGGGATTTCACATTTTTCCCTGCTTGTTTATCGCTTCTGATTTATTGCACTTGTTTTTAATTTTGTTTTATCAACATTATCTTGGTGGCGGATGTAGATGCAGAATGCTCACTAATGAGTCCCATTCCTCAACTGCTGTTCTAATCATTGTAGTCGCGGTGGAATGTGCATCTAATGCAGCTGCTGTCGTTGGATTAATGTTGAGTTTGATGCGCAGGGCTTCAGTAGCTTCACATTCCAGTAAGTAGTGCAATAGTGGCGCCTCTGCTTCTGTTTCACAGATGTGACACTCTGTAAGTATTGGGTTCATTACCGCCCAGCAGCACTTGTAACCAAGTCTGAGTCTGTGTATGGCTACTGCAATGTCTCTGGATATCTTTTTGCCAGGCTTGAAAGAGGATTAACCAGTGGCTTGTTCGTACCATATCGCAGTGGATCTTCCTTCCGCTACTTTGGCTCTGTGGCAACTTTTGATAGTTGAGAATATTTTCTTCTTGATTTGCTCATTAATCTGTGAGAAACTTGGAAGTATTTGAACCTGTACAACAGGTAGAGCAGTGGCAGTTTTTGCTAGTGAGTCTGCCTTTTCATTACCATCTATGCCAATGTGTCTTGGTATCCAATTTAAGGTGATTGACAGCCCTCGATTATGGGCTTCTTTTCCTATATGTTGAATTTCTGTGAGGAGTTGTATATTATCTCTGTGCTGATTGGATAACAATGCCTGGAGCGAGGATTTAGAGTCCGTATGAATGATGACATCATGTAAATTATTCTCAATTGTATAGTTTATTGCCTCCTTCAGGGCATATAATTCTGTTTGCAATGTTGAGCACCCACTATTCATGCTCCATATAGTCCTGGGGACCATTCAGGCTTTCTCGCATTTATGTTTCCTCACGTGTGCCCCAAAGAATGAGGTGATTTGATAAAATGCTATGCCCAAGATTACCATCTGAGTGCCAGTGGGAAAGTGGTTCATATAGCTTCGGCTATCACTTCCTTTTGTCCGGTCGTGATGGTCAAGCGGATTAAGGCGTCCTGTAGATACCAGTTGCATTGCTCCTGGCGTATGGGTTCGAGTCACTTCTGGGGTGTGAGTTTTCAGTCGCATATAGTCCTGGGAACCATTCAGGCTTGTTCGCATTTGTGTTCCTCACGTGTGCCCCAAAGAATAAGGTGATATAAAATGATAAAATGCTATGCCCAAGACTACCATCCGAGTGCCGGCGGGAAGTGGCTCAAATAGCTTCGGCTATCACTTCCTTTTGTCTGGTCGTGATGGTCAAGCGGATTAAGGCGTCCTGTAGATACCAAGTTGCGTTGCTCCTGGGAGTATGGGTTCGAGTTACTTCTGGGGTGTGAGTTTTCAGTAATATATATATATATATTATATATATATATATCTATATATATATATATATATATATATATAATATATATATATATATATATATATTTATTTATTTATTTATTTATTTATTTATTTATTTATTTATATATAATATTATGTATAAATATATATTATGAATAACAGAGGTTCCAGGACAGAGCCTTGAGGCACTCCACTTACAACATTTTCCCACTCTAACTTTACCCCATTTATACTAACTCTCTGTTTTCTTTGGTATAGTTCTTTTGCCCTTAGGCATGGGCATACCAAAATCTATCATGCTCACCAAAATCCATGCTCTATCATGGCCATGATGTCTCTCTCTCTCTCTCTCTCTCTCTCTCTCTCTCTCTTCTCCTCTCTCTCTCTCTCTCTCTCTCCTCTCTCTCTCTCTCCCTCTCTCTCTCTCTCTCTCTCTCTCTCTCTCTCTCTCTCTCCTCCTCTCTCTCTCTCTCTCGCTCCTCTCTCTCTCTCTCTCTCTCTCCTCCCCCTCTCTCTCTCCTCTCTCTCTCTCTCTCTCTCTCTCTCTCTCTCTCTCTCTCTCTCTCTCTCTCTCTCTCTCCTCTCCTCTCTCTCTCTCTCTCTCTCTCTCCTCTCTCTCTCTCTCTCCTCTCTCTCTCTCTCTCTCTCTCTCTTACTTCCTTTGAGATATATATTGTGATGGACAAATCGTTTGTTAATATCCAATTAAGCTTATCTCTGAATGGTGATAGTATGCGGGTGTGGGGTCGGAGGCGTCGGTAGTTTGAGCGGTGCAGGTGATAGTGTGGTGGCAGGAGCTGGTGGTGATGGATAGTGCTGGTGGTGGTTGTGGTGGTGGTGGCCCGGGATACACTACCTCGTGTTTCCTGTAGAAATTATGGTGTTAGTGAACTGTTAACTATGGAAAAATATTACCCTTCGTTACTACGGCAGTGAAGCGAAGGGGTGATTGCAGTCGCCAGTGTTTGTGAGCACTAAAAATGTCTTTACTTCTCTTATTACTAAATCACATTTTGTACTATTTGTTTTTTCCTTATCTTTTTACTCTGAATCATCTTACCTGCCAAAGTTCATCCTATATTCCTTGATTTATCCGTGCAATATTAACCTTTCCTAGCACAATCAGAACCTTGTGGACTCTTTAACTTATCTCATACCTCAAAAAAGGAACTTCATTCACGCCGCACACTTCTATTTTTTCACTGTAAGATCCTTTTGACATTTTTTCTGCACTATCTCTTTTGATACTTGTAGGCTGCATTTTGATTTTTTCTCCCCCTTTTCATTTTGCTCATATGCACTTTGCAACTTTGCAACATTTCATACTTTCTTCGGTTTGCAACATTGCTTCATCATTGCACATGATGAGTGTTTCATTCATCATGTACAATGATGTAATAAATAATCTAATTATCATTGGATAATGATCTAATTCATTCCCTTAAAACTAAAGCTGAGAACATTAGTGAAATACCACCTATGATATATAAGAGTGCTGCCCCTGCTCTTGCACCACCCATAGCTCTGCTATTCAACAAATCTCTAGTGTCAAACTTTTCCTGACATCCTTAAAAAAGCAAGAGTGACGCCAGTTCATAAAGGAGGTGAAACAGCTGACATGAACAATTATCAATATCAAATCTATTGGTACTATAAAAAACATTTGATTTTTTTTTATTTACAAACAGCACTATTCCTACTTTGTAGAATTCAACAT